TTTTAAGGTGGGGGGGGGGGGGGGGACTGCTGCTTAAAAAAAAAGATCAAATTTCAATTTATCTACAACTGAGCTATATTAGATTGTGGTCTAAAATTTCTGGGTTTAAATTAAATTCATTTGGGAAACAGACCTAATGTCCCAACCATGACTAAATTAAGAGTACGTCAAAGGTGGGTTGTCTACAGTCACGAGTTGCTTGGCTATCTCTCTGGAAGACCAGCTATCAGGATTCTTGGAAACACTCTTCACCTGCTGCAGGGATGTTAATCCTCTTACCACTCACAGATTTCAAATTCATCACTTAAACTTATTTCTCATTTAATTAATTAATTTATTTATTTCAATATGTTATTCCTTTGTGACAAAATCAAAAGTCACTCTTTGTACATTTTAAAAGGACAATTAACAAAAGAATTTTAATGTAAATATCAGTGGTCAACTTGGAGCAAGTTTATGGAGCAATTGCCGTACCATATCTTGGAAAACATCTTTATCAACACTATGGCCACTCTTTATAAGCGGAATGTAGTAATCAAAGACTGTTTCATCCCAGGAATTTGCTAACCATGCCTTTGATATCCTTCACAGAAGCTACCTTGTTATCCAAGCTTTCAGGTTTAAAATATCCAAAATCAATCAGAAACTTTCACTTAGAGCCAAGGAAAAATAATAATTACTGAACATGTGTGTGTATGCATGTATTTGTATGCACACATGCCAACAGCTATATGAAAAAAGAATTTCTAAGCAAAAAAATGTCCGTACTGGACAAGTTAATGTGTTTACCGTTTCACTGTCCTAATATCTCTCTGTCATGCTACAAACAACTTGTATTTTTACATAGACAAACAAAAGCCCTGTGTTCCACAACCCTCATTTTCAACTCCTCCTGCTTTTTTGTTTTCTAAAATACAAGCAATTTTTCCAGCACACACTGCCAGGCATTTGGCTGTTAGACACACATCTGTCTGTGTCTAAGGCTCTGTTCTCACAACTTTTAGATCGATCTATCACCGCGGGGAGTCTCACTAGATAACTGTCAGATAATCCGCCTTAAGTGTCCGTCCCCGCCTACTACAAGCTATAAGGGGTAATTAACTTTCGTGTCCGCCCGGCTGACAGCTATTTAGCGTGAACCCCCAGGGAGTTAGGTGGATCCAATGTAGGTCGATCTAATCTATGAGAATGGGGTGTAAGGCTTCGTTCACATGCAATGTCTATTTTCTATTTTTCTATTTTCGGTATGNAAAATAGAAAATAGACATTGCATGTGAACGAAGCCTTACACAACTATTCATCTTTGTGATGGCCAGTGTAGTCCACAAATGCTTGAAACATGCTATTTGAGCTTTCATTGTAGTAGTAACACACCACCTAATGGCCTTGAGTAGAATATATATATATGTTGGAAACAAGAGGAGGCCTGTTTATCTGATTGCATTCAGCAAGAGTCCCTGTGGAGTTACTGCCCATGAGCTAGGGTGACCAAATTCATTTTGAACAATCTCAAATTCACATTTTCGCTAAATGTTAAGATAACTTATTTGTCTGAAGACAATAAAGAACATCAAATTAATATTACAAATTTATCAGTAATATATCTTTGTTTTGACTCTCAATATCAATTTGGTTAAAACAACAATATAAGACAGCACCCAATCTTGAATCACATATCACATTACTACCCTGAGTGTCAGAGCAACGTAAAAGCTAGCCTGCTAAATATACCTTGTGGTGGAGTCGCTTTTACTAACTCTGAAGACCAGCGGCCATGAAAGTTTTCCATCAATCAAATAGAACTGCTCCGCAGTGAAAATGCAGTTGAATGTCATCAGACCAAAATAAAACGTAAAACAAATTTAATTCTGCTTTATTTAATTTTATTTGCTGCATTTCAGATGTAAAGCTAAATATACCTTGTGGTGGAGTCGCTTTTACTAACTCTGAAGACAAGCGGCCATGAAAGTTTTCCATCAATCAAATAGAACTGCTCCGCAGTGAAAATGCAGTTGAATGTCATCAGACCAAAATAAAACGTAAAACAAATTTAATTCTGCTTTATTTAATTTTATTTGCTGTATTTAAGATGTAAAGTAAAAAAATAAATAATATTCTTCGGAAAGAAAAGATATATCCAATGTTTTTGTATTTTTTGCTTATCAAAGAACATTTAGTCCTGAGATACACACGTGTACAATACATGTGCTTGCCGTGTGCCAAATTTGACAGCTACACTGTATGCCTGATACCACTATAAGGGCTGCGCAATGGCTACACGAAAATAAGTTTTTACAGCAGAATGTTGCTTGTATTGTGGCACTGACCTTCGACTGCAAGATATTTTCATTTCAAACTTCTAACTCCGCGTCAGGCACTTTAATTGCTTCTTGTCTCGCCTGCACGAGACTTCAGCGCAAGGCGGGAAAGGCAGCTCCAGGCGGCTAAACCTGTGACGTACGAGACTTATGACTTCCAAATATGGATCCAGGCGGACACAGCTGTGACGTGTGACTTCCAAATATGGAAGCGCCCCAGGCAGAATTTTGAAGAAGAACGCCCCCGAGTTGCCACTGTTCGCTAGAGTCTGGTATTGCTACTATGGGTTATATATGAAATCAAGATCGAGCTGGCAATACTGGAATCTAGAACCTAGGGTACACATTACTGGTTTGTTACCTCTTCCAATTCAGTATTGGAAATTTTTATGGTTCACCTATTTTTGTTTAATTTCTATGGTGAAAGACACACAGGAGAAGCATTAAATGGCAGGCCAGTAGCCAGCAATTTTTAAGGGGGGGGGGGGGGCTTCTTGTCAAAAAGTCGAACCATTAACATGAAATCTTTGCATACTTAGATCACATTTTACCCAGAGCATATCTTTTCCTGGCAAAAAGGGGAGTCCATTTAACCCCCCCCCCCTTCCCAGATACTAACCTGACTGGTTTCAATATGAAAGAATACTTGTTGTCTATAAGGCCAATAGACCAAGGAAGTACACAGCAAATATCATCAGTTTTATTTCTTGTGCAATCACCCCAGCCTGTAAAGTCGGTGTTTCAGTGGAGCTGGCTTTGGTTAGCTTACCTTTTAATCAGAGAGCTGAGAAAGAAGCAAGTCAACAAAGCTTGGACATAGCCATTTGAACTCAGTAAACACGCTGATATTAATAAGCTTCAGGAGGTCTAATACACAGCAAGATGTCCTTGACTTTAGTTTGCAACAGTAAACAAGTCATCGGTCATCATGACATAACAACTGTTCCTAAACTTATTGTGAAAAGAGACAAATGGAAGGTTTTAAAGGCCACCAAACTTTGAAAGAGAAAATCTTCACATTAAGGAGCATTTAAATACACAAAAGCAGCATTAAAATGCACAAAAAAGTTTAATCTTTACTATCTAAAAATTCTTAATTCTGAACATTTACTTTGTCATGTAGCATAACACCCATGCTTCCAAGCCCTATATGGGTTCATCTGACCAATTTCCATCAGCAATCAAGAAGCCATTTGAAATATCATCTCTGGAATGACTACTGGCATACTGAACTCTACTTCACTGACCATGACATACAGAGAGGCTGCATTCAACTTGGTTTGAACAAAACTGATCTCAGCTGTAAATCAAGACCGCCATCACCTCAGTTATCTATCCCCTGCACTATGCCTTCTTCCCCCTATCCTTAGTCATCTATCGCCTAAGCTAGTCATCTATCCCCTATGTTATTATTGAACTGAGCTACTGGCCTCAGGAGTAGCAGAAAGGTTTGCATTGAGTGAAATGGTAGGATTTTGGGTGGGGGTTATACAAAAACAGATTTTATAATAAACCAGTTGAACATGACCCCAAGGGACCTTACAATGTCAATTTGCAGATATTTTCTTGTACAGCTGCCCAGTGACCAGGTTATCAGAAGTTAACACAGTCATGTATAGAGCCAAATTATAATTAATGTATAAAGCAATCTCGCAACACAGGCTGACATAAGCAAGCATGAGTGCCAATGCACACAAGCAACTATTACTGAACAAGCAGTAAGATTTTTCACATACCTTCTGACTAAAGAAGGACATTATTACATATATTTAAGTATTATTAATATTTTTATTATTATCATCCTTTAAACAGATGTAAGTGATAAGTTACCTTGCACAAAATTGCATAGTCAACTTGACAGACTAGATAACAAACTCTGCTTACAGGGAGAATATTTTTGTTCCAGCTTTCTATTCCATTCAGGAAAAAAAAAATAATCTAAGTCAGCCTATATANACATATGCTGAAAAAAAGGAAAAAACAGCATAACTAGTAAAATAGTGGCCCGATCATGCCAATTTTCGAACTTGACCTGCGTTTTAGTAAGATTGATTACTCTTGTGAGTTTCATGACAACAGGCCTAACGGTTTTCCTTAACTCATTGTCCCCTGTAGTGAATACTGCTCTATGCCCTACAGCCATTAATACCAAATCTGACCACCACCAGGCGGTGGCGCCACTGTCTGCACTCTCCCATATCCCTAAGGAAATCCAATATGGCTGCCCTCAATCACTGTTGTTTTGTTTATTTCATTTTGTTGGGCTTTATAAGACATGAAATTTGTTTAATTTAAAATTCTTTATAACTGAACATATTTAGGATTTTGTTATTTATTGAATGAAGAAGATCAAGTCTGAAGTATTTGATCTGTATTACAAAACAATGAATATAAGTAAAAAAAATGTTTATTAAATCTATGTAAAATGTAATACTTGTTGAGAATATATCATTAAGTATCAAAGTAGAGACTAAACAAAATTCTACAAAATATAATTCAAACATGAGCACCAGATAACAATAAAAGTTTCTAATTCATAATGCAGTTAGCACCACAAATCTCACAATGAATACTGTTGAGGTTATCTGACTTTTATAACTAAAATAAACACACTGTCAAATATAAAATAATTGGCACAAAGGATTGAAAACAATAGTAAAAATGCAATATTCTAAATATATAAGTATAAATATTGTTTTTATAATCAATACTGAAAAGAAAACAATATATGATACAAAACATGAGCATTTAATGAGCATGTACATTGTGTAGACAATAAAAAGCTACACTATATATGTTATAACTACAAAACTGTCACTATAAAAACTATATTTAATATTTCCTTTAAGTATATACTGACTACTTACAGTGAGCAATAAGCAGTTACAAATTACCTGCAAATTTATAGAAGAAAAAAAATACTAGTATTTGATAAAATGTATTCAATACATGCACCAACATTCTACATGTTCAAGTTCAAGACATTCTACATGTTCAGTTCAAGAGATTATAAAAATAAAATTAATTTGGCACATGTGAAATAAAGGTGACATAGTTACAGATGTTGATGATATGGTTCAAAACAGTCAATACACAGGCTGACACTGCAACCAGAGCACTGTACCCTGGACTCCCTTCTTTGTCCATTTTTGCTGCACTGCCTACATCTACCTGCCTTCACAGTTTTCCGAGGTAAGTGACTTGTGCCTTGGGGGTCTACATTTGAGGTAAGTTTTCTCTTCCGACCGTTGCGATATGTTCCGATGAGCCTCTTGGATAAATTCATGGTAAAATCCATCAGAGTACGAGGCAAAACCCTTCCAGATTTTGATTGAAGGATGTGGTTCTGTGACTCTTTCATACAGATGAAGGCATTGCATTTGGCTACATCAAACAAAAACCAGAAAACATAGAGCCACCATTTCTTTGAGGTTCTGTAGGTGCAGTACTCATTTCGTAGTTGATCTGCCCTGTCCACTCCATTCATGTAGGCATTATACTCTGAGACTGTCACCGGACAAGAAACTCGCAGAATTTCTCCAGTTTTCTGCTTTCTGTTTGTGTAGCCAATTGCAGATGCTGGATCCTCTGCAGTGGACAGGAAATGTATAACTTTCTTGTCTTTCCATGCCACTGCTATCATTTCTCCCTTCTGTACCATTCTGTTCTCCCCTTGAACCTTAACGCAGTTATTTGGAAGAAGGTTGCTGGGATAACCCCTCCTGTTGGACCTCACTGTCCCCCTGGCATAGATATTCATATCCAGCAACTCTTCAAATAACTGTGGACTAGAGAAATAATTGTCCATATTAACAATATGGTTGACGCCACTGATGTTTTCACAGAGGTCTAGTACAACTCTGGCACCTAAACCAATCTCGGGCTGACCTCGATTTCCTTGTCTGCCAGTGTAAATCTGTAAAAAAAAAAAATAATAAATAATAATAATAAACTTGCACTCACTTGGAACATCATAGTCTTGTTTCTATTCTCAAAAAAAAAAAAAAAAAAAAAAAAAAAAAAAATTAAAACACCTATAGCACTTAATTATTAAGTTTTGCAAGCATACTACTAATTATGTAAACTAACTGTGTGATCAAAATACTAGATTAAACTTACCTGGAATTCATTTAGGTAACCATTTTCAGGGTCTGCTCTCACCCAGACTTTTATCCCATATTTTGTAGGCTTGGCTGGTAAATATTGGCGAAAGCCTAGTCGTCCCCTGAATGCAATCATACCTTCATCCACACTGGTGTTTTGGTGTGGATTATAATTTTGAAGGCATTTTTGATTTAATATGTCAAGAATGGGCCTAACATGCAACAGTCTGTCATGGCCAGGCTCCCCTCTGTCTGGGAGATCTCTCCCCCATGTTTTGTTTGCATGAAAATATTGCTGAATCTTGTCAAACCTGTCCCTGGTCATCACTGTTGGTATGAAAAGATTACCTAAAAGGTAATCATTTGACCAGTACTGGTCATAGCGTGGCAGGTACAAGATACTCATGGCAACCCTGATGCCAAGCCATGCTTTAAGTTCGGGCAGTGTTATTTCTCTCCACTTAGAGTCATTGGCACCTTTGTATGCTGCATATAAATTGGTATTTTCAACCAAAATATTCAGTATCTCATCAGAGAAAAACAGTTTAAAAAAATCTAGTTCATCTTTATCACCTGTCAGTTCATGTGTGCATCCAGGCTCCTCGCCACAGAAAGGCTCTTTATCCACCCCTACTAGATCGTTTTCCCATTGATTTCTTCTAAAATCTTCACTACTGTTATCTATTTCATCAAAAGACTCTGAATTTGTGGTGTTATTCAAAGAAATATCGCTAAAATCATCGCTGTCAGACTCGCTTTCACTATTAAATCCAGAAAATTCAGACCCGGAGCTCTCCTCAAAAATTCTTCGTATTTCCTCCATGTGCGTATCTCCCGCGGCCCGAATAATGTTTACATTATGTACTATGGTATTCTAATTTTTATTGGCTAAAAGAAAACCAACTACCAATCACAAAACAAGCTATTTAAAACTTACCAATCGTAGTTTCTTTCTCATGCCGTCATATGAAGTCGCTAGGCAAGGGAGGCGCCATATTGGATGCCGTCATACGACGGCAGTCGGGAAGGGGTACTATTAATATTACGACGTCAAATGACGACGCTCGGGATAGAAACTGGAAAACATCGACGGCAAATGACGGCGGTAGGGGACAATGAGTTAAAATGTGTTTACAGGGTTGCATATATGCTGAAAAGTGATAAAACAGCATAACTTCTACAATAATGGCCCGATCATGCTGATTTTCGAACTTGACCTGCGTTTTATGAATATTCATCAGCTCTGTAAATATAAAACCAAAAAATAAAACTGTGTTCCACTTATCGTGTTTACAGTGAAAGTGCACGGCGACGGCATTGCCATCGGCATCGGCATCGGCATCGGCGACGACAGACGCAGGTGATGGCAATATGTACAGACACATCTGTGTCTGTACATAAAAATACAGAAAACTGCAGGTAAATTTGTATAAAGTCATACGGCACCTTTATTTTTCACAATCACCAATATCAGTAAGGTTTACCTAATAGTTGTTCATGAGACAAGGTCTTTAACAAGGAAAAACAAACAAACAAAAAAGCATGAACTTTATCACAACTCAAATTAGAAAAAGAAATACAATACAAGACAGAACTCCTCTTAAAAAAATTAATTTCCTAATGACTACCAAAAACAAAGAAAAACTCGATCATTGACTATGGATTTCTCATACTCTTCTGTTCTGCGTGGGTTTCACGTTTATAGATTTAACTGGAAACCAGTTATCGGTGAAACACCGATGGTGGATGTTGATGATCAGTCGGCCGGCAGAAGTTAAGAAATGATAATAAACAGTAAGTAATTTATGTGTACTGATGCTTTCATTAATTTCTAAATAACAATAGGGTTTTAAAACTGGCCTGCAGCTGCCGGCGGGCAGGTTGAGTCCTTCAATCGTCTCATTCAAAAACAGCACAAATACATGATAACAATCTCTCCTGTCAAGTGGCATTTCCTTTGTTTGGAACGGTGGTCTGAAAACTCGCTTTGACGAATCATGGGGCGAGTTTCAATTGGGCACACTTTCTTGCGTTCGGAAAATTTAAATTGTGCCCAAGGTGAGTTTAGCGATCGTTCGTACAGAACGGAGACAAAAAATTCAGATTCAGAGAAAAAACGTTTCGTTCGTAATTATTGCGGCGTTCGTATAGATTGGAGAATTACCGTATTTTTTGACAGGAAATTTGTATGAGCCATGTTTCTGGTCATGTTGGGTTTTGGCCAGTCTGATTAAGATTAGCTCACCACAGGTAGCAAATGAATCGCAGTGAATCTGGGTGGGACAAGAGAGGGATTAGATTTGTTCATGCTATCTATAGTATGCCAATCGTGATTAATAAGCTTTGGATGGTCTAATACACAGCAAGGTGTCCTGTGATGTCAGTGAGTGGGGCAGCTGGGGGATTAGATTGGTTGACTAAGGTCTGCTTTTTGTAATTTAACATGTTAGTTACAGTGACTGTGGGTGGGACTAAGATCCCATTCCCATAGATTTTAGCTCGATCTATCCCTGTGGGGAGTCTCACTAGATTACTGTCAGCTTAGCTGGCTTAAGCGTCTGTCCCGCCTACTAAAAGCTGTAAGGGGGTAATTAACTATGGTGCGCGCTCGGCTGACTGCAATTTAGCGTGAACCCCCAGAGAGTTAGGTCGATCTAAATCTAAATCTCTGGATCAATCTAAATCTCTGGGAATGTACCCTTAGATGTACTCGTTGTTATAAGATAAGATGATAATGTAAAAAATAAATGTAGATAGAGGAAACAGCAAATTAACATATATAGAAAATAAATACTGAACACTAGAAATTTTGGTGGATTTATATGAGAACCCATCTCCCTAACTATTCCCCTACAAAATGTCAATAAGCGATATCTGCAATATCAGAGCATTCTCACTCACATGTACACAGACTGGGGTAGCGCTAACACTCGCCAATTTAGCCAAATGCTAAAACTGACTTAAATTGGCTAAAGAAAAAGGGCTTGATTTGACTTGTTTTAGTCAAATTATAACCATTTTGATAACAAATTGACAAAAATGTGGTGATTTGGCTAAGCGAAAAAAATTGCTAGTGCTACCCCAGACAGATAAGCATTCACAGACCCATATCATTATTTGTCCTTATGAAAAATGAGACGAAACCAACTGAGACTGACTGATTAATTTACCAAGAAACAAGCACACAAAATCAAGCAAACAATCTTAGTTCTTAGGCCAAACCTCTGTGAGAACCAGTCCTGATAACATCTCTGAAACAGAGGCAGAATGTACATTATCCAGGAACTAAGGCTACTAGGCTCACATTATCCAGGATCTAGTCCAACTGATCAAAGTTGTCTTAAACCCAAACAAAATTCTCTTCCAGTTAATGTGTACTTACACCATCTTTAACAAAACAGACTTAAAAAGCAGAGGTCATCTTACTTAAAACACACATAACCTCATGCAGGTGAAGGCTTCTCTGCAAAGTGAGAGAGTGGGAAAAATTATGCATATCCGTTATACGAGCTTACATGAAATGCCAAGTTATAAACTCTACTCAAACTGGTCATTTTTGAGTCCTAACATACACAAACAAGAGCCAAAGAAAAATAGCCTGGTACAGTCGACAGGTGGAAAAAAATAGAAGAAAAAAAAAAACAAACAAAATACTTAAGAGTCATAGTTTTCACAACACAAAATATATGGGAAAACCACAAACATGTTGAGGTATGTAGTAAGACCTCTGGTGCCTGCGCACATGGTAAAAACATACCAATGTGAGGTCTGGGAGAGAAAGGCTACAAGTTTACAAATAACCAGGTCAAATAAGACCAAGTATCCCATAAAATTTAATTTTACTCTTGGTGCTCTTCTGTGCCCTGCACCACAAAATTGCTCCAAAACACTTCCAAGTTTATTGCTCATTAACCTTTCATAAAACTGCCACAGAAAGCAGTAAATCTTCGATAATTAAAATGTATCAAGAATACTGAGAGAGTTGAATCAACACTAATTTTTACAGGAAACGCATCAATCACAAGCTGAGTGAAATGTTAGAGCAGGGGAGGTGTCCTGTTTAAGTAGGCTAATGAAATGTTCAGACTGAACAAGGAAGGCTGCCTAGTACAAACACAGCCTGCCTGGTACGACCTTTTTGTTCAGAAGCATGGCATTTTGGCAAATCAAAAAGTAGCGGATTGTCCTGAAAGGGGTCACTTTCTTGGAAGAGCCCAATTTCTGCTGTAGTGTTGTGATAATCAACAGCTGTTGCAGGCTGAGCAGACATCAGGAAATTAGATGAATACAGGACAGCTAAAAAAAAAGAAGGGGAAAAAAAGCAAGAAAAAATTCTCATAGGCTCCCCCCCCCCCCCTCCCATTTCAAATTTTTATTGCCTTTTGACTTAAATGGATTGAAATCAAGCTTTATTTTTCTCATACGCTCACCTGCATACACTGAGAAACAAGTGACTCACAGAAGTCTTCAACTTCAGGGGTATCTCCTTTGATTTAGATACAGAAATAACTAAATGACAAACTAAATCAAAACAAAATTGATTCTTAACGCTCACTGAAGAAATGTTTTGTAAATAANACCGTAGTCACATTTTCTGAATATACATGATACATTTATTTTATTAATGAAAATTGATGGTCATTATGCTGATAAGCATTATGTCATGTTGCTTCAAAATTGAAGAAAACCTTATTTTGGACACTGCTGCCAGGATGACCATTAAGGGAAAACCATGTTACTTATGATTCTTAAACTTACTGAAAAGATTCATAGGACTGAAGTGCAGCTTGTGTTGGAAGATCAGAATGATTGCTTTCTGTTTTGGAAGTAATGCAGTTCTTTATGAAATTTTCATTTCTTACATAGTCCTTGGTATTATATGGATACAATGAATGATCATTCTTTAATTTCCCCTTGGGTAATCACTAGCTAAGTTCAGAGCTATTAAGTCACTTCTTAATTAAGTTTCAAGAGGCCATTAAATGAGATTACACATGTGTTGAGATTTCCCTGTAAACTCCCATAGGTTTAGCTCTCTGCTAGATACAGTTTGTTAAAGTCTAAATTAACAGTGTCAGAAAATTAGGAATCGGTGATAATTATGCAGGTAAAAATATTGCAAGTAAGTTACAAAAGAAAATTATTTTGTGTAATGCCAACATAAATGCTATAGATGAATAGCGGTGCTTTATTATCCTCAAACTCAGTGGGGTTATTCATATCATGTTACTAGACCTAGATTTAAAGATTGAATAGCAGCTTTATTAGAATATTTTTTGTTATGTTTTCTTTTTTAATTTTTATATTTTTCAAACACTGGCATTTTCAAGATGTGACTTTTTACTCCCATCCACCTGAAGCCCTGTACATTTTCTGTATTTCTACATAAGCAATCATATTGATGTTTATGTCTTAAAATTTTTATGTAATATTATTTTATGCACTGTCGTAATTTTTCACATTTGGAGATTTTCATTATGTGAATTTGAACTTTCATGGTCCTGAAACTGTAATCTTATTACCTGTTGTGCATGATTAAAATTCACTGTTGATTGACTGTGCTGTTATTCCATAAGTATTTATTATTGCATCAAACTTAACAAAATTACTTATTTTCTGCATCTTTATTTTCTGCTTTTAGTCTGTACATTTGACAGCTTTGCTGCCTTGTTTTATTGAAATGTTTCTTGACGTGAGTATGTAATGATGGCTCTTAACACAACATATCCATACTCTGATCAAGGGAGATACAACAGCATCATGTAAGACTTCATTGAAAGTTTTTTGAAGTGATGGGCTTATGTATACAGTATGTGCTTGCATCATGTCATTTTTGCATTTTACAATATAAGTGTATACAATGTTACAGATTAAATTAATTCTTTTGTACAGCATAACACTCACTGCTACCTTAACTCCTGCCATGATGATCATATTATTTTATAATGAGAACAAAGGTATGCATGCTAAACAGTAAGAACGATTGGTGAAAGGTTATCGCAGCATTTATCAGTGTAACTCAGGGCTAGACACTAACTTTTGTGAGCACCTGTCCTTCGGACAGGTGCTCATATATTTGACCTGTCCAATTTTCAATCCAACCTGTCCACAAAACCAATATTTTTTTCTGTTCATACCTTTGAACTTTGTCAATTAGTATGTGTAGTCATACATTTAAATTAATGTATATATTACCAAAACATTCAGTCATATGAGCCCCGAAAATGCACCTTAAAGTGAATTTATGTTCAGATAAAAAGTTGTTTTTTCATACTTGTGAACTCCTGAAGATTTAATCTTGCATATAAGTCTGATATTTAACATCAGGGCTTCTCCTAGGATTTGGGGTACAGGGTCTACTAATTGTAAGTCTGCAATTTGATAACAGATTCACATGAAGTTTAACCAAAGCTAAAAAAAAAAAAAAAAAAAAACCTGAGCGGGAAGTGGGGAGGTGGTACTGTTAAAATAATTTTATAAAAATATTCAAATTTTATAATATTTGAATAAAGTTCAATGAAAATTATATATATTATTTTATTTATTCATTATTTTATATTCATTTTATAATACTTTACTTATGTCAACAATTTAACTTCTTAAGGGGTTATCACATGTTTGATTTTTTAAAAATATATGAATTAAATAGAATCAGCATAAAAAGGTTCCCCTTCTTTCTATTTAAATTCTCATATTTGTTATTACTTATTTCTTCCTTACATCAATATAACACTGGTATATGAGAGCAATGTTAATTTATCATATTCCAGCACTAAATTTTAAACTGTAAATAACAGAGGTGATGCTAGAGTCATTAAAGAAAGCATCATACAAAATTTCATGTTATATTTTGGCAAATAAACAACATTTCAACAAGATCTTCAGTCCCAAAGATTTCACTTTCTATAGTGAGTAGATAGCATACCACGTGTTTGATTGACAGGCAGTATGTTGCCTTGACAACGAACTAGATATAGCCAGTTCATCCAGTCCAATCTGGCTCCAGCACAGTGCTTGTGTAGTTTCTGTTTTTGGAAGTGTCTTTATTACTAGAGCACGTAGATTTTAACTAAATAAATGTTCAGTAGTGAACCTGATATGTGAATAAATTTTGTCTGATGAAGTTCTGGAGGGTGTTCACTTTCATAATTTGGCGGTAAGTTTGCTCAGAATTCGTTTTGCGACTGCATGTGTTTTGTGCCAAAAGTAGGTCACTCTTTTCAATGTTGTCTAGGAAGAGGCAAAAAGACGTTAGTATGCAACAAAAAATGATTTTTTTTAAAGATTTTTGATCCAAATTTCTCATAAAACATGACCTGTCCGTCGGACAGCCAACCCTGCAACTTCACCTGTCCGAACAGAATTTTTACTTGTCCCGGACAGGCGGACAGGCGCTAATGTCGAGCCCTGTAACTGCAAAGAAAGTGGATTTATTTGACGGCACTTGTATGTGGGTTAACTGAACAGCAGTTTATTTGGTAGTGTGAATCCCCCTTATAACTCCATTGGAATATGCATATATCTTTGTTGTTGTTGTTGTTGTTGTTGTTACAACTATTTGGCAAGGTTATGCTAGCAATGGATTGTAATGATCACTAAAGTATGTTATGAGACTGCATTTATTTTACTTTTTATAACATTTCCACATTCTTGTTTTCTGTAGTACACTTTCCCCTTACCATTTCCTAATTGGAATGTTTAACTTAGCACCTGTTCCTTTCCAAATGATAAGAAGGCTCAATCTCCTTCAGTTCAACTGGATCTCCTATTTGCTCTCATCATTAAGAGATTTCCATAGAATAGGCATGGGTGTGTTACATCATGTAACTGCAGTACTAAAGCTTGAATGTGTTACTTGAGAGAAGTTTTCCATTCTAAAGTCCTGTGCCTGGTGTGACAACCTCACCTACTGCATTCTTAGCTCTGCTTACAAGTTGTATGGATGATTGTCTTTTTTTCTTAGAATAAATGAAAATTTGTCTATGTATGTTGAGGTCATACAAATTCTGCTTTTTACCACCCAACACTAGTTCCTTGGGAATGGCCTGACTCAATCCACAATTCAGGACAAATGATCTTACTCTTCATTTTTGGAATGACTTCCACTGAAGTAATTAAGTAATACCCCTTCCTCACTCATTTAAGCTGTGACTATTCAAGAGAATTCATGAAACATCCTGTATGTAGAAAGTAGGAGTATCCACTCCCAGGGACAGATCTATCCCAAGTTGCCCTAGGATTCCAAAAAAGCATTACACATATATCTGTGATGATATGTGTATCAATAGTCAAAGTTTCAATTGCAAGTTTCTCACCCTCATAATCAAAGGGTATATAATGGAAATTAAGTAAATAAATATTTAAAAAACAAGAAAGTTTCAGTATTATTATGATTTTATTCAGAGACATATACACATATGGTTATTGGGCAATATTTTGCATTTACATTTCAATTTACATCATGAATCAAATTAAATAATGTTTAAAAAATTATCTACACCCTCCAATAAATATTTGTATTCGTCTTACAATTGACCTATGGTGCATAAGTATCTAGTATGTACATATAATTAATTTTTTTAATTAACTTTATTAAAGGTGCTTGAATTTCACAACAAGTTAAAGGAATATTTGGAAGTAAATCCTACAACTAGTGCTTTCTGTCAGTTCAATTTGATACTCTCTTTCAAGGTTAAGTACTTATAACACCAGAGAAGTTATGCTTTAGGCACTGTTCACATGAAATATCTAAATTCTAAAAATCCAAAAATCCATTGGCAGTATCTAGTGATCACGGTCTGTGCCCTGAATACCCCGCTGCGTAATTAACTAGCAGTGCGAGCGTGTCACTTCGAAAGCCGTAATTAATTCTCAGGTGCGCTCGGAGGAGATTCTGGCACCTTGACCCATGCGCAGTAATAAATTAAAAAGAGAAAACGGCGGTTGCGGTTGCTTTGAAAAATGTGTTTGTCGATTTTGTGCAACAACAAGTCGAAGAAGATGAGGTCTATATACACACGATATGAGAGCAACTGTCATGATCCGATGGTAATAGAGATACTACTGCAATGTAATTCTATCATGGCACGTGAAGTAATATCTCCTTTTTAAGATCAATCAGTCATTCAGAATTGGCTAATTAAATATTTTACTCATAGTTCTAATAAATACGGGCATATAAATAATATAGCTATAGACATTACATGCCTTCTTTTAAATAATCACCATAAATAGAAGTTATTCAGTGCCTTGTTGAGTTCTATTATACATGTACTGTACACTATTTTATTCCACTGTAAACCAAGTAAAAAAAATTGTTTTCTGAAACTACTGACAAAGATTAAATAAGACATAATGCCCTTTGTTTGCTCTATATCCCCAGTCAGGACAGTGTAGGCTACATGTTTGGCTGAAGTAATGTCTCTTTTTAAGACAAAATCAATCAACAAAATCTTCATCCTTCTTATGCAAGATTCATTGTTTTGATTTTTGTGTAATTGGGAATATGATGATATGGAACAAACTAGATAACAAATAAGTAAAAGGTGAAATTATGTAAATTGTTCAAATTCTATTAACCAAATTTCAAAATCAGAATTAATTTTCATACATTATTTATAACCTAACACAGTGACTGATAGAATGACCACTGTACCCTCCTCACTGGACATGCTGTGTTGGGGACAAAAGTACTAATCGACTGACCCTCTACTGCAGCTGGCATTTTACATGTTCCCATGAAAGTAAATAGTTGCTCCTCGCGCCAGAATTTAATGTTACAATCACAATTGATAGGATTATTATTCAGTTTGATCTGCACTCCTTCAGGCAGCCCTTTCAAGTCACAAAGACGTAATCTGTCAATTGCATTCCCTGTTAGATCTATGTACTTGACACTTTCTAGGCCTATGAAGGCATCTGCTTCTACCTTATCTATTTGATTATTACTAAGATTAAGTACTTTCACGTTCTGCAAGTCCTGGAATACAAGAGGTGGTATTGTTGTAAGTTCATTACTGCTTAGGTCCAAGCTTTCCAGCCTGGTCAGACCCCTGAAGGTCTCAGCCCCAATCTGTGACAACTTATTCCCAGTGAGGTCCAAGTCACGAAGCTGTGACAGTGTTGAAAATGTCTTATCTTCTAGTGCAGTGAGTGCATTCTTTTTAAGAGATAGAGTCTTTAGATTTGGTAAAGGATAGAATAGCTTGCCTGAGAGAGATGTGAGGTGATTGTTCTCGCTGATGGAAAGCTGCTTCAGGTTGTTGAGCTGCCGCAGCAAACGGGTCGGAACTGCAGTAATGTAGAGATCTTGTAGAAAAAGACGCTCCAAGTATGGGGCAAGAGGATCAAAGGTTTTCACATTGATGCGGTTCCCAAGTCTTGTGTATAGAAGGTACACCTCACGAGCCTTGAGATTTTCAAATGTTCTTGCTGATAGAGAGTTGATGTGGACATCAAAAGCTCCAAATTCCTGGAGGATGATGTTGGGGAAAGAAGGAAGTTCAGTGGTATCTTTACCACAAATAACTGCCATGCCTGTCTCCCTGAGGAAAAATGGAAAATAAAAAGAGTTTAAAAATTATTAGTTAACTTAAAATGTAGAGTGGTAGGGCGGGGAGAGAGAAATGGACACTTTTTCAATTTTAATGTAAGACAAAGATTTGTAAAGCCACATATGAAGCAAGTATAATGTATTTAAGTCACTAAAGGTATCTCCCACAACTCATATAAAACACATCAAAAGATAAACCAAAGTAATTACTAGATCAGCCAATAAGTTTTAAAACTGCATCCTCTGAACATTTTTGATTATAAAATTGGCCTACTTATAAATCCATCCCTCTAGTTCATTAAAGTTTGCCAAATGATGTAGTAATGTGTGATGCATTACTGTTGTGCACAATAGCATAATCATTCAAATGACATTTGGTGAAAACGAAAGAGGGATTTATACATGTATAGCCCAGAAAGAAAACAGAAAATATATCTTCAAATGTCTTTTTTTTTTTTTTTGGGGGGGGGGGGGAATAGGAAGTGAATGATACCTTTTGATATATCTTGAAGTTATGTAATATGAAACTAAACTGTGGCATTTGGTCTGGTTTAGTGGCAAAAATTTGACGTCACTAACTTCTAATGCATTTTTAAAGTTAAAGAGAAACAACTGTCAAATGAGATTCATATTTCACAATAAGTACATTGTAAACAACTCGGAAAATATAATAAATTTCATTTCACCACCAAAATAGCCTTTATCGCAATTATTCTGGTATCTGTGCTTGCCATCAGATCACATGGATTTCTATATATGGCTATACCTCCTAAATAATATTTTAAAAGATTGTTACCAAAAAAAAAAAAAAAAAAAACTTTTTTTATGAGAAAACATGAACTAACTTTAAATGTTGGAATGGATTCAATAACCATTGGTTAACAGCTTTATCCTTATAACTTAATTTATAAATGAGAATTCCTATAACATAATTTATAAATGAGAATTATTTACTTTCTTGTTTTTTTTTTATGTATGTTTATTAAACTTCAACACATCAATGAGAGTGTATCTACAGTTTATGCCCTAATGATATTATTTATTTTTAAAACTAAATAAAATGTTTTTATTGCTGATGCAAAAGTAAAAATTCATGATTTTTAAAATAATGGATAGATGTAGAAAGAAATAATAAAAGAGACTAAATTGCCAATTAGGCAAGAAGAGCATTAATGCTTATTCACATTTTAATAAAAAGTGGAATGAAATACCAAACACAGACATGGGATAAAAGGGAGAGTGCAACCCCCTAAAACTACTTACTTGGGCGTACATGTGCAAGGTGTAGGACACCTGAAGTAGTCTTTGGGAAGCTCTCGCACTGCACATCTGGATATCACCACCAGCTGTAGCACAGTCACATAGTATAGCAAGGAGCCCATGGTCATTGTCTTCAAGACTGTGAGAAAAAATCACTTGTAGAGTATTATGGAAGTTTGAAAATGCTTGCTGCAACTTGGCCGGGTAGTCCTTCACTACAACAAGTAGCTTTGCTGTCTGACAGTACTGTGTTTCACCTGCTGAATTCTTCAAAAGTTTCTGTGTTAGTCAAGTATTCCCACTTAATCAATTAATCTTTGCAAGCTTTTTCTGATACTATTGTTGGTTGTCCGGCTTTAAATACTTGCCTTCACAGGAACCACCAATGGATAATTAATGTCTGTAACCAAGTGAAAATGATTGATTTTCTACTTTAACTGCTCTCTGTCTCTTATCAGTGATTTCCCCAAGGAAGAGTAAAGCTTGGCTTTTATATTTATTATCAACTGATGCTTTTTCCCTTCCTAATTTACTTCTTTATTATTCCCTTTCACTCTTTGTCACTTCTGTCCTATCTTCTTTGATACTTTTTTTAAAAATTCCTAGCTGGTGTGAGTCTCTCAATCTCAGTCTTTTTTTTTTTTCTTTTATGATCCTTTGAATTATCTACTCCTTTCTCAACAGCAGGTATTGTTCTCTTTAAGATGTAATGTCTCTTTAAGGATATTCTTATGTACGTTCTCCTCTCTATAGTTTTCTATTTTGGGTCCTGTTTTCTTGTGGTAAAGTTTTTCGTTGTGATTGAAAGCAAGTTTCCCAGTGTATTTATGGGGCCAGCAAACCACGTGGGTTGGGGTTGCCAAACGTAAATACTCCAGCATGTGGCCTCCTGTCTTTGTCAGTATTTACGTAGGTAGCTGTATTAGGTTGTATAGCCAGTACGCAGTCTAAGCACGCACATTGATAAATTGTGTCACAGGACTATTAAACACAAAGGTCAGTAGTTAGCGGAAGTTGGCTACTTCCTGAACACAGGATGGTGTGCTACTCCCTGAGTGAGGGTGCAACACAAGTGCCCCGGCACTCTCCTTCTGTCAATTCTTCTGTCAATTGCAGTGAATGATGCAATTCAAAGTAGAACAGATGATAAACAGAGTGGACATGTTCAGTATAATCAAGCTTACTATATGAATTAATATAATATGAAGTAACAGTAATTTATTCATAGGATAGACCAAAGAAATTAACTCATTGAAAGGTTATGTTCCTGATACATTGATATGTTTTTCTTTTAATTTGATGCCAACATGTATTCAACATTCTTTTCATTTGAAACTTATCACTTAATAGTCTCCCAAATTTCAAAATTTCCCTCTATTTTATCTTATTCATTTTATTTTTGCATTAATTTTCTTTGAGTATAATGTTTAAATACATTTTGGGTTAAAACATGCTTTATAAAACCATATCTACTGTATGGCTGTATATTGATGGGATAGAAATTTTGACATAGTCAGGGGATAGCTATCAGATAGACATGAAGTCCATGCAGACACTGAACTTCTCATGGGGTATGATACAACATGTATTGAAGGTGAATATCAAAAACAAGGTGATACACAGATTATGAAAACAGGAAAAGGGGGAGAATGTTGTAGCATTGTTTGCATTCCTGGGCCCTCTGCTGCCATGAGCTCAGGCCAGCAGAACGTGGCAGTTTTAATTGATATAATTGGTTTTAATTATCTACGTCAAATTGGAATGTGAAAAGTTTAGGATGGGTTTGTCAGGTACATTTTGGAGATATCTCATTCATCTGCAGCCCTTATGCACAGACAGGGCAGAGGACATTGTATAACCTGTAGTTACATGATTAATATTAATGTGATGAAAACAAAAATATCACTCCTTTTTCTTCTGAAACCAAAGGAAAATCCAACACTGTCAGCTGAAGTAATAGATCAACTTTTGATGTAGATTTGCTCCTACTCATGGGTCCACAGTAAAAAAAAAAAAAAAAAACATTTAAGCAAAAATTTGAAAACATGTACAATATGTTGTGTTAATTATAAATAGATTTTGTTACCACAATTTTAATTTCCAATAAGGTGCTTTAATGTGTAGTAACCTTCCTTTTATTTTAGATGTTCTAAAATTTCCAAAATGCATAGATATTTACCATATGGAGTTAAAGACGAATTTAGTTTGTGATCAGCTTGGCAAGAACACAAGCAATTATCTCATCCTTTGTATGGGCTACTGACGCTTTTAACTTGCTCTTCTATTTCAGGAATTTAGTGTTTTATATCCGTTCACTGCAATAATTGATTTCATGAATGGGGTGAGATACATGGAAAAATGCTAATGACCTCATTCCAAGCCTAAGTGTCAAGTTTTTTCACATGTTTACTACAGAGAGTGGAAAACTTTGACTAAGGCATAAATACATGCACAATGTACATTTAGATGTGCATGTACAGTGTAGGTCCATTCCTAACCATTATATATTTGTTTCAAAACATATTTTTCCTTTTTTTTTCTTACAAATTGACTTAAGGAAGAGTACTTTATTGTGACAGTAGCAATCTTGACACTTTTTCTTGGGATATGAAAAACTCAACAAATTTGCAGTTGGAATGTCAAAATACTTTTTTTCTTGCCTCATGTATATGTTCTTCACCTGGCTTAAGCCTAGAGAATGGTAAAAAGAATTTTCACTTTATGAAATAGAAGTTTTGAGCAGGGGTTTTAATTTCATTATGATAAAGAATGTGACATGCCTTTGATCATAATAAACATGTTTTTAACAGAAACTTGATCAAATTTAAAGCAACAAATACCTCATAATTGTCTCAATCTATAAGGTCATTAACACTGGCAAGTAAACCATGGTCTAGTAAACTCCAGTTAAATTATGGTCTAATAAACCCAGTTTCTTTGCAGTCACGCTGATACCAGGAGGTGCATGTATGCCTTATATTCCGAAGGCTTATCGTTCCAATGGTCCAATATTCCGAAGTCTGTCGGAACCAAGTTAAAAAATCAACCTCAGTTCCAAGGGTTTGATACTTTGATTTTTAGTCTGAGGGTCTGCTGTTCCGAAAAAGGATAGCCGTGCTTTAGTGCAATGTTATAACTTGCATTTGCAGAGAGGCGCTTTTACCTGTTATTTTGCAACGTATGTTAGTATAACGGGTATATTGAGCAAATCCTTTATAGCAGTATATTCAGTGTTCGTTTAGTTCCTAACACTGCTATGAAATCTATAAAAAGTTAAAAAATCAGATTTATTAGTTTTCATATGCGAACATAGAGCATGTACCCCCCAACGTACGTTTAAATGCTATATGTTATTTATAAACTGAAATAAAACTGACAGAAATCCATTTTGTTTAGAATATACAAACAAATACACACAGCAAGGAGGAAAAGCAGTTGTAAGGTACCACATCTTTTAAGCCATTGAGCTGTACTGTCAGAATTAACCTGCAAAATCTGATAAATTGCCAATTTGTCCCATGCATTGCAAGCGTAAACATCCTCCCTTGACTGCGATTCAGAGTTAACTCCATTTTAACCTAGGTCCCGACCTGGGTTTATTTTCACAAGAAAAGTTTTGGAAAATATTCATGGCAAAGAGAAAAAGCATACTGCAGTTGTTACTATGACATCTGATATAATCAGTGAGCTGTACTGTCAGAATTTTCTTGCCTTATGTGATGAATTGCCCTATTGTATGCATGCGTTTAAAATGTAATCATCCAGCCATGACTGCCAACCAGTGTTAACTCCTATTTAACTCAAGTGCCGATCTATGTTTATTCAGATTGTGGTCACGAGTATGTAGTCCATTCACATTAGAAAAGTGAACCCCAATAGGACCGCGATCAGGCATTAAGCACAGTTGAAATTGTTGGTGTGAATGGGGTATGTGATAAAGGGAAAGGTTAGAATTTTTTTAATGTGAAAATATCACCACTATAAAAACGAAACATTTCACTGGTACAGCCACAGTTCTCTCATTTCTTAAATTACAATCAAGACAGCCTTTTCTTTTACTTAAATGAAAATATTTCTTGTACAACCTGTCCTAGAAAAAATTGACCCCCATAGTAGAAAGTTCCCATTTATACATTGGCCACATTCAGAATAGATGATACGAGTACTAACTGATCTGCCAACTAAATATGGCCGACCACACTTCAAATGAGATATCGCTAATTCTCGTTGCTCTCCCTGCCTCCACATGCGTTGTCGCTGTAGGGGCCTAGCAATTAAAACTCGAAGCTTAGATTTTATCTGTTGAATGGTGCGTGTGGAGGCGGGAAGACCATCAGGAATCAGCGGCATCTCTTTTGAAGTGCGGTTGGCCATATTTAGTTGGTGGATCAGCTAGTCCTCGGATCATCTATTCCTACAGGGGCCACTAACACTGTTGGCAAATAGAGAGTTTCCGGTGCAGTTGGGATACGACGGCTAGATTGTTACGTTTGTGCTAATGTATCCAGTAACGCGCTTCTCTCTTCGCGTTCCGGTAATGTCCCGGAATGCTGGCGCTCATTCCAATATAATAATAATAATATACGGCCCCGTAGCCATCTATTTCCAAGGGGGGGATTCTTTTTTATGAAAAAGGACACAAATATTACCCAAAAGTGCAATTTTTCCCTGACAAAAATCGCGGTTCGTAAGAACCCCACGATCAACCCCCGACTACGTGCCTGATAAACCAAAACTAACGGCTCCTCTCTGTTAAAAAGTCGAAATTTGCATGAACGTTCACTTGAACTATTGTAAAAAAGTATATAAGTCATATAAATTAGCAAACATAACCTTTAATAACAATTTTCAATAATCTTCCGCACTGGCTAGATAGGAGCGCTTGTATTCCGCAGACTAGATGGGATGACGGTATATGAATGCGGTGAACGTCACAAGTGCGCACAAACCGATGACGTATTAATCTAGCCGGCGTATCTCACTGGCAACGGAAACTCTCTAATATGCAGGACAGTTCAGGATGGCCTGGCTGTGACCTGCAGGGACAGAGTTCAGGATGGCCTGGCTGTGACCTGTGGGGACAGAGTTCAGGATGGCCTGGATGTGACCTGTGGGGACAGAGTTCATGATGGTCTGGCTGTGACCTATGGGGACAGAGTTCAGGATGGTCTGGCTGTGACCTGTGGGGACAGAGTTCAGGATGGCCTGGCTGTGACCTGCAGGAACAACAGAATGGAACATGTTCATGGAGCTTTATCATTCATTCACTGGGTTCCAGATTAGCATAAGTAGCATGGATATACCAGTATGCCATCTTCATCTTTTAAAGAGCTTAAAACAAATAGCATGGGCATTTAATTCTCATCTGAATCTTGTCTTTAAAAATGCTGTCATAGTTATATCATGTTGATCTTTTGTCTTGATCCTTGTACCTTAAATGGCTGTTATGTCAGTATTAATTATTGTGAGAGAGAGAAACTTTAAGATAACCACAGCAACATATATTGACCTGCACATTCATATAAATGCTGCTAGCTGATGATCATCTGCTAGATATGTGTATGGAAATTTGGATTTAAGTTCTTCTTCTTCTTCTTCTTAAATATCATGTTATACAATGTAAGATCTCTAGTGAATATTTCTTTGAAGTAATTGGCTGAAATGTATATCACCTCATTGTAAAGTCAAATGGTTAGGCTAAATTTGTAGGATGAACTTTTATAGCCCAGTCTTTTGTTGATTAATCTCCACCCATCACAGTGCTGATAGTGGTCTGCCAACCAATGAAAAACAGATGTGAGTTAAAACGTAATAAAGG